GCAATTTATTGCTGACCGTTGAAAGCGTCACCATAACGACCAACATCAAATAAGTGATGTGCTAAGGCGATTCCATCATCGCAGGCCCTTTCACGTCCGTCATATGCAGCCACCCCTGTATAGTTGCATTCGTTATCCTATTTTAAGATTGGAAGTTAATTCACCTAAATTCACAGAATATTGCTGTCTGCTTGGGTGACTTGATAAGCGCCAAGAAGTTGGGGCAGCTTACACCCAGCTCCCGCGCAAATGATTTTTGAACTGTTCTCAACCAGACATGAGCAATGAACATTGACATAGGACGTCGTGTACTTTCAGCTTTTCCGATTTTGAGAAACTGCTCAGCTCATTGTTTTCAACCACGAACGTCTGCCCTCGATTCAGCACCACCGCGGTTACAGTCAACAACAACTACCCTTCCTTCGGTTCGCGTCGTTCGCATGATCACGAATCTCCCCGAGCAAATGACAACACCAAATCCTGATCACGAGCACTTCTTCCGTTATACGAGTGGACGATGGCTCTGGGATGAAGAACAGCAGCTCAGGGACAGGTATAAGGCCTTTAACGTTGCTGAGCTCCAAAGCCTCGCGGCCAAAGTCGTTCGATCAGACAGCTGCATCTCCATAACGAAGCTGGCCGAGGGAGGATATAACAAGGTCTTCCGTTTGATCATGAATGATGGAAAAAGAGTGCTTGCTCGTATACCAAACCCAAATGCCGGCCCAGCGTTCTATTCGACCGCTTCCGAAGTCGCGACCATGGAGCTTGTAAGTTTACCTTAACCCAGTTAATCGCAAGGGCGGCTAGTTCATGATAAACCCAGGCTCGAGATTTCCTTCAAATTCCTGTGCCCCGAATCTTTGATTGGAGTGCCACATCAAATAACGCCGTTGGCTCGGAATACATCATTATGGAAGAAGCATCTGGCACACAGCTTGGAGACATCTGGGATCAGCTGAGTCCGGACAAAAAACTTTCCATTATGAGGGAAATAGTGACTATCGAGTCAAAGATGCTTGCGGTGTCGTTTTCGCAGTATGTTCATTTGCTCATTCTCAAACACGTGCGAAATCTGATCATCTCGTCAGCTTTGGCAGCATATATTTCGCGAAAGATGCAGTGGAAGGCGCAGTTCCAGCCCTGCTCACCAACGAAGCTTCCTCCGAACTCAGAGAGCGAGTATACAAGAAATTTAGTATTGGTCCTACCGTCGACCGAAACTTCTGGAAGAAGGAACGCTTGTCGATGCAGATCTCGCGTGGTCCTTGTAAGCATTTTCATATGGCTGTTTAAGTTGTTTATATTTTGCTGATTTTCATTAGGGCGGACGCCCCAAGAATATGCGCTAAGTGTTGGCTGGCGTGAATTAGAGTGGATCAAAAATTTTGCCGTTTCGAAAGCACCAAGCGAAGCTACCCTAATTTCTTCGGCCCAAAACAGTCCACAAGCACATCTGCAGCTTTTGGAGAAGTATCTTAAAGTGGCTCCTACTATTCTGGACATTGACCCTGTTCTCACTCGCCCTACATTGTGGCACGGAGACCTTCATTCATCTAATCTCTTTGTGGATGATGGCCATATAACTGCTACCATTGATTGGCAAGGCTCGTGGGCAGGTCCACTCTTTCTTCAATCCCAAACCTCTCCGATCGTGGACTACCCAGGCAGCATTCCACTTCAACGCCCAGACAATTTTGACGATCTGGGCCCTGAGCAGCAAGCTGAAATCAAGCAGCAGATATTCAAATCGACGCTATATCAGCTATATCTGCTGGAGACCACAGAGCGCAACCCCCTTCTTGCCAAAGCGTTCCATCTAGACCATGGGAAGACAAGGCGTCTTCCGGTCGAATTTGCCGGAAACACATGGGATGATGACATAGTCTCTTTCCGTGAGGCACTTATTAACGTTGAAAGGTAGCTATCTCACTCAGTATCTTCTCCCATTTCCGGACGGTATCTGATTGCTTATTTCAGACATTGGCAAGAACTTGGCATTCAAGGCGAGTGTCCTTATCACTTCACGCAGGATGAACTACATAGCCACTCCGTTGATTCCGAGGGCTGGAATGAGGTCCAGGATTTCTTTAGCAGTATACAAGGTCTTGTGAAACGAGATGGCTGGACAAGTCATGACACGTTCGACGCTGCTTTTAACTTCTTTTCAGAGCTTCGAGAACGGGGCCTGAAGCATATGAAAGGAGAAGAAAAGAAAGCTTTTGACCGACAGACTCGTTGGGCCAGACATTAGGCTGATTTTGGGACGTCATAATACTAGCGTGCGATAGGAGCCTTACTACGCTTTACGTTGTCCGACCGCTAATGAATCCGGAACTGATTCACACTAAATCCTCTTTAAAAATATGTACTTGTTGTGCTTCATATTTCACAGTTGCATACCCGACGAGCGGGAAAAGACAAACGCCAGATAACCGGACCCAACGCCCACACGCTCGTCTACACCAAGTCGAGAACAGGCAAAGCCTTTTTCACATTCTCAACCCAATCACGAATATTTTCTACGAAACTCCGAGCAACCTCGGGTTTGATCCCTTTGCTGACGAAAAATTCCGGGTTCTGATCCTTGTAGATGTGCTCAAGCTCAAAGCCATCTGACAGGGTTATGGTTGGATGCCTCAGGCATCACATGTAGGATAGACCAACTAGACAGTCTTCCTTCCACTCTCACCTTCTCTCTCTCCCCGTCCATCCAAATTGAATACTGTTTTACCTGCATACATACTATCATTGTATTTGCATCACAAACGAAGTGGTGTGCCGGTATCACGACCCACACAGTCTGGCAACAAAAGCGAGGTACGATGCACAATCAACGGAGTTGAAAAGTATCGCTGCTTCAAGAACTGGTCCATAAAATTAACTTTGTACGACGATGTGAGCCTATAAAGAGACCTTCGTCCTTCGAATAATAGATTCAAGTCTCGCATTCAAGCATCGATCATGGACACCTCTGACAAGTCCCCAGAGACAAACGAGATATAACCCTCTAATTTCGCACAGCCAAGTACGAATGAATACGGGGCAACAGCAAGCTCGCAGTGTGAAGCCGGTCATCTTGTAAGTTGCGGCATATGATTACGGAGAAACCCACTGAACACTATAGCCATTCACATCCCGCGCCCGAAGGCGAGAAGCGCGCCCTGGCGACAGAGGCTTTCCAGCCTGTCATTGAAACCCTAGAGCGAATGGAGCAGGAAGACCCGAAGCTGGCTACCCAAGCTGCGCGTCTTGTGGGGCTCTATCGGCGCCTGTGGGAGTCGTGCATTTCCAAGCACCATGCCGGCCAAATTCTTCCAGCGGATAACAACGAGCTGCGTATCACTAACACCCAAATGTTTCGGGAAATAGAGTACCTCAAACAGCAGCAGAACAACCAGATCGCGCGCTTGACCCTTTTTGAAGAGGCCCTTGGCAAAGTCCGAGAAGGGATCGTTGGCGTCCTTAAAGACTGGGATGGCAGTTCCGAAGAAGCCACATCGGTTTCGTGGGAAGGGGCACCTCTAGGTGGTCAAAGATTGGATATTTTTGGTTTATGGACTAGAAAACTAGGAACTGATCACCAGCGCCAAATAATCTGAGAATGCACATGTGCTTTTCAATCAATGTTCCTCGTGCGCGTAGACCCCAATTGATGTATTTCAAATTTCAGTCTAAAGCGTATTTAGGGTGTATACCTCGGAGCTGTTGATAGACGCTACTCGTGCAAACCAATTGGGCTCTTGATAACGGCGCTTTCTATGAATGGCCCTGGAAGATACCAGATACACCATGACAGGTAGATTGAAGAATAGAGACGAAGTGTTGGATAGACAAGTGTGAGTAGAAACAGTGTTAAAATCTTAGGACATGTACATAGCATAAGAAAACTAGAGTTGTGTTTACGGCTAGCACACATCATCATCGCGAAACGAGATCAATTTGGGATTGCAGTAGGGTGTCAACACAGATGGTAAGAGCGCTCTGTGATGATCTTATCTCCCGAACTCAGACCGTATGTGGTCTCAGCATAGTTATTTAGAAGTCCACCAGCCCCAGGGTGCCACTATATAGTCCCAGGAGGCTACTGCATTGTTCCAGGACGCCCGATAGTGGCCCCAGGATCCTATTGTCTCCTGGGAACACCACCGACCATTCCTGAAAACCACTCGTATGCCCCTGGGGAACTGAACGTATGCTCCCAAGGAAGTCAATACCCACTCGCGGGAGGCTTTGAGTCCTTCCAGGAGCCTTCGAATTTGGCCAAAGCTTACAAGAAGAAAATGTGGTTATTCATGTGTCACTGGCCTTGAACACGATGTAACTATCAACAGTGCTCTAGGCTTGAAAACCTTCTCGATAACACACTAAGTTTTTGATGCAGGTGAATTTTTGCCGTCGAAGCAGGTCATCTACATGCTCACGGTGTGCTTGTACTGGCGAGATCATGAATCGAGGCTGGCGAACACTCTGATCGAGCTTGATACAACCTTGGAGGTGGGCTGCTGGAAGAGGCGTGGCAGGTCCTCACCGCATGGGTGACTGGGCCGACTGCGCAAAGTAACAGGAATGGTATTGAAGCGATCCTCAATGAAGCACTCGACTGGGAAAGGAGAGGTGGAGCGACCTGTGAAGTAGAGAAAACAGCCATTACACATTTCGCTCCCAAGGCTGGCAAAGTTGACCAGGAGCCTTTCATCATCAAGGGACAAACCGTTGAACCCAAAGGCTATGTCAAGATTCTTGGTATCATAATGGATACGAGACTCAAATACAAGAAACACATCGCGAGAGCAGCATCCAAGGGCCTGGAGGAAGCGATGGAGCTTCGACGACTCTGCGGTCTATCCCCAGCACCGGCGCGGCAGCTCTTCACAGCCACCATGGCCCCGGCGGTGGAGTATGCCTCCAATTTCTGGATGCACGCTTTCAAGAATAAGATCATCGGGCCGATCAACAGAGTGCAGAGGGTAGGAGCGCAAGGGATTGTCGGGATATTCCTCACAGTTGCGACCAGCGTAGCGGAAGCGGAGGCTCACATCGCCACGGTGCAACGCCGGCTCTGGAGACGAGCTGCGAAGATGTGGACGGACATGCACACTTTACCGGTGACCAATCCTCTCCGCAGGAGTACAGCTCAGATCAACAAATTCAGAGGATACCAACTTTCGCGATTGTACCAGGTCGCAGACGCGCTGAAAAGCATCGAGATGGAATCCCTGGAGACCATCAATCCATTCACATTGGCACCATGGGAGGAACGTGTGCAGGGCGATGGTCAGGATTTACCAGAGACACAGACCGAAGCGAGCGGGGTTATGCGGATCGCGGTCAGCAGTTCGGCGCGGAATAAGACAGTAGCATTTGGCGTGGCGGTTGAGAAGCGGCCACTCGGTACCGAAAACCGAGGCTGAAGACCTTTTCCGTCACACTGGGCGCAAGAGCAGAACCCATACTCTGGGGTATTGGCAGAAATGGCACACGCACTGAACACGCTGCGGGGATTGAAACGGTGTAGGGTCACGCTGCTTACCAGCAACAAGGCGGCGGTACTCACGCTGAAGAATCCCCGACAGCAGTCAGGCCAGGAACACATCTGCCAGATTTACAAGTTGATCCAAAGACTCCGGAGACACGAAAAATGGATCTACATCCGCTGGGTTTCGACCAGCGAGCATGACCAATTGTTGGGCCTGGCGAAAGAGCAGACCAAAGCCGCGACACAAGAGGATGCTATCCCTCAAGCACAAGTTCCCAGAATGAAGTCAGTCACCCTGAATATCGTACGGTCTTAAGCAGTGACCAACAAGGGCTTGCCGGAGAACGTAGGCAGACATTCCATACGAGTCGATGCAGCGCTTCCAGGGAAACACACCCGACAGCTATATGATCGATGATATTGGAAAGAAGCAAGCGTGCTAGCCCAGCTCCGGACCGACATGGCGAGACTCAATGGATACCGCTATCTAATCAACGTTGCAGAAACGGATCAATGCGCGCGTGGGCAAGCCCAGAGAGACCATAGAGCACTTCCTCTTTCGATGTCAGCGGTGGACCACACACCGAACGGACATGCTGCAATGTACACACACTCACCGAGGCAACATATCCTTTTTCCTGGGCGGAAAATCGCATTTGGATGACCAGAACTGGATGCCGAATCTGGAAGTAGTGCGAGCCACCGTACGGTCTTCATTCGCCACGGGGCAACTCGACGCCGCCTAACTGCGTCCACCAACACAAGTCAACCCTACCCCACGCCAATTCCAATCTAACCCCCACCAACTCCCTTGTGCCAGAGACGGTAGACGCGCTTCAATTGCCGAGGATAGGATGTTGAAAACTTGGAGAAACGCCTTCGAGCAAGTATACTCACTAAACACTAACCCACAAGGACCCGCTTAAATATTGACATCTGAGATGACATACACTGAATAGAATTTTGTATGGGCCGCAAGGAGAGATAGCATTAGCTAAGGCGTGTATATATAGATCTGTGATAGTTGCCCTTTCGGTTGTGAGACAAAATTTGCTCTACCCGCATCTGTGCTCAGTGGGCTTGCAATGTTGCTGGAGAAAGTCCAGCCGCCAACAGAAAGCAGGACTTTTAGTTTACGGTTCTTCTGTTTAAGTAGAAAAAGCTGCTTCACACATCCATAAACGTTGTTCTCAATGCCGCTCCAAGGATCGCTGGGGTAATGCTTTTCAACATCAGCCCAGGAATCTGACATGTAGATCTCTCCCGTATCTGCGCGCACGTTGGCGAATGCATACAAGACATGCGTTAACCTCTCGGCTGAAAGTTCTTGGGGATTGAAATTTCGACCGTATATAGACTTGGTTTGGAATTCAAGTTAGTTTCGAGACGTGAATGGATGGTTACATAGAATATGAACAAACCCAGTTTACGAAGTATGCAACAGAACGGTATCCACCTATTGTCTCTCGAACCTGCAGTTTTATCTAATGGCTATCCCATGCATAATATTGAGCCCTACTATCCCCCTGAGAAGCATCTCACCGCTTTGCATTACCACCAGGTCAATGTCTACCCATCCAAACAGGAGTCAGATGGACCAGCACCTCTATATTTCTACCATTGACGCGGAGCCACTTCATCGCTATCGACAAGGCGGTTACCACCCAGTCACTTTGGGGAAATGCTTGAAAGCTGGAAGGTATAAGGTGTTACATAGACTAGGGTTGGGAGGCTACTCGACAGTTTGGGCAGCGAGAGATCAAAGGTTGCACAAGCTGGTGTGGCTCGCGGTAGTTCTAGCTAACGGAAAGGCTGCTTGTTTACAGGGAACAGACGTATGGTGCTGTCAAGATTTCTCTTGCAGAAACTGAATATAATGGGGACACGCGAGAGCTCCAAACTTTGAAAGTGCTTGCATCTCATCACCCGCATCCGAAACATACGGTACAACTACTCGATGACTTCGATCTAAAAGGCCCAAATGGATCTCATAAATGCCTAGTTTATGAGCTTCTAGGTCCCAACGTTCCAGATATAATTGATGCAAATTTTCCAGATGGAAGACTTTCTGGCAAGCTCGCCAAAATCATTACAAAGCGATATTTGATCGGACTCGATAGTTTGCACCAACGAAATATTGGGCATGGAGGTATATCACTTTCTTGGAAATACTTTGGACAGTGCTCACCTGGTATAGATCTGCCCATACCCCCAATTTGGCCTTCGCTATGCCTTACATAGACGATTTAACAGAAGAGGGGTTTATTGAGATGCTAGGAAAACCAGAAGTTGGCTATGTCCAAAAACGCGATGGGAAATGCCTGGAAGCCGGCGTGCCCGAATATGTCGTGAAACCTGCCTCATACGAAAATCACTCTTGGAATCTGGCTCTGGATGTCAAAATAATCGACTTCGGAGAGTCATTCTTGCACACTGCTCCCCCTGAAACACTACATACACTTTTATCTCTTCGGGCACCGGAAGTTATATCTCAAGATCACATTGATTATCGTGTTGATTTGTGAAGCATGGGTTGCATGGTGGGTGAAATCATACTCCGGTAATTCATAAAATCCCAAGCTAATAGGTTGGCAGCTCTTTGAACTGTTCGTGGGCCAGCCACCTTTCAACACATTGTTGATAACGCCCACAATCCTTGTTGGCCAAATGCGAGAGATGGCAACTGATAAACTACCTGAATGATGGCAGGATAAATGGAATACGATGAACACAGGGGACGTCACGGCCACAGAAAGCACCGGGCCCAACTTGCAGGAATGGCTGGAAGAAGTATACTTTGATGGCCCGCTGAGCCCCGATCTCACACGAGAGGACATAGTGAGGCTGGGACAGATCGTTGGAAGATTATTGCATTTTGAGCCGTCTGCAAGAGCGTCAGCGAGACAAGTTCTTGATGACCCTTGGTTTAATGAGTGACCCCATGACAAATAGTCTTTACACCATGAAGGCGCGTGTGAAATTTGTCTTCATTCAATTGTACTGTACATACCTAGCAATTTTCTGAGACTTCTTCGATTTTCAACCCTGCGTGCCGAAAATGACCTCTAGCACTCTCTTCCTTTGCACCGACCACATCAATGCACCATTGAAGAAAGGCATCAAAGCCTTGATCAGTGTCTACTTCATAATAACCCCAGTTGCGTTTAATAAAGGCTTTGAGCTCAGCGAAAAACTCTTCAATCGGATTCAAGTCCGGCGAGTAGGGTGGCAGATAGACCAATTTTACCCCTGCATCCACACACATCTGCGTCATCCGCTCTGAATCATGAAACGAGCCGTTGTCCATAATCAGAACGGATATAGGTTCGGGCCATCTTCCGCAGTGCTGAAGAAGCTGCGCTATGAAGTCCTCGAACACGGTGGCATCTGTGGACCCGCGGAAGACACGCGAGAAAACGATTCCATCCTGGGAATATGCAGGCAGTATCTGATATCGCTGGTCGCGGTGAAATTGTGATACTTGCATAGGAGACACACCAAGCGGTGACCAGCATGTGCGCCTGAACCCAACCCTTTTATTACATCCAGATTCATCTACGTAAACCAGCTGATATGACTGAAAATCCGATAAATGATGCAGATACCATTCTCGCAAATCGGCATTTCGCTCCCTCGCTTGCTACCGAGTGCTCTCTTTAGACCAACCTTTGGCAACAAGGGCTCGTCTGATGCTGGAGGTTGTGACTATGGTGCGGAATTCATCACAGAGGAAAATAGCCATCTCATCGAGATATAAACCGGGCTTTTCAGACAGGTGTTCGCAGAGGGCTTCGATCATCAGTGGTGTTACAGTCCGTTTCCGTCCTATTCGAGTTGGGGGTGCATGCACACTTCCAAATTGCCGCAAGTTTGCGCGAATAATTATAATCGTAGCCTGGCTGCATTCTGCTTCTTCGGCCATTTTGCTCCAAGACTGGCCCATTCCTTCTGTCGTATCGATATTGGGACTGATATGATTGGCCTCATGGCGAGGGCACAAGAATATTAATATGACACCCTTCTTCCAGTACCCCTTGTCGGGCTTCGATTCTCGATTCTTGATATGGATAGAAAAAAAGAACACTCTGGAGGTGATCCACTCCCAAGATCCTAGTACCAAACGGAGGACAAGGCCCACCTTATCATGTGATCGTTTGATACACCGCCCACATTTCATGCCGGCATTACAAAGAGTAGCCGTGACGCGCTGTTGCCAGAATCTCTTTTCAACCTTAATCTTCCCTTTAAATATTCGGACTCATCTGATCACTTCAGACACTCATCCATGCTCACAATGAAACCTTGGTTAATACCTTGCTGTGTTATGCCCGATTTTACGTGGCCAGACAACGTCCGGCCGGTCTCTAGCGATCGAATACCATCAACTCCTCGGCCAACGCACCCACGGCTGCGTAAATTTTGGGGGTTTTTCCACAAATATCTGAGACGCTTTTCTCGATCTTATTGCGACTGGGTCGGAATATCGTATGATAATCAGATTGCTCAGCTTCCATTTGGATTGATTTTGAAATGGTCCGATGGCACTCGAATCGAGGAAGTGTTGTCTATGCAAGTTGCACGAAGAGCAGGTCTCCCAGTCCCAAGGGTGATCTGCTATGGCGAGCATACTGACACACCCCATGCACCGGTTTCGATTCTTATGACTCGCGTGCCCGGTGAAGAACTAGGCCAAGTCTTTGAATCCCTCAGTAACGAGGATAAAAATTCAATTCTAAAGGAGCTTAAAGGTTATCTTAACACCATACGAGGGTGGTCAAGCCCCTGGGGTGGGCAAAGAATTTGCTCTCTCCAAGGTACCTCGATAAGCAGTGTCCGCCTTCCCGGTCATTCTGCTGGTCCATTTGAGTCAGAGGTAGAGTTCAACGAATTCCTCATACGCCCTGCTTGGTCGGGTGGCTTCTCATCAGACTCGGAATACAAAGATGCACTCAATCGCGCCAAAATGATGGGAAGCTTGCCTCATCGCGTTGTCTTTACCCACGGAGATTTAAAGCACCATAACATTCTGGTACAAGGGGGCAAGATCACCGGGTTCTTGGATTGGGAATCGGCAGGCTGGTATCCTGAATATTGGGACTTCACTACTGCTTTGAGGTTCACTCGGGAGGACTTTTGGTGGTACAGCTTTGTGATCAAACTCGGTGGAGACTCATATTTAGCAGAGATGGATTGTGAGAAGGCGCTGACTTCTCTGACCGGCGCTTCTTACTATTGGTAAACCAGTGATGTCTTACTGGCCTTTTTTAGATTCGTGCTTTTAGTTCAATTACGTCCACCGACCATATTTCGAATCGCGTTACGCGAAAGTACCAGTATATTGCTGCAAAGCCTGCTGGGAACACCTCAAAGACATAGTCCTCTCTCTGTTTAACCGATGCCTCGCCCTCTGCCACATCCCCCTAGCCTGGAAGGTCGCGGAGGTGGCTATGATACCCAAGGTCGGCAAGAAGGAT